TTTAGTATAATTATTTTTAAAAAAACCGATACAACGATAACATATGTTTAAATTCAAGTGTTAAAGCAATAGAATTTCATGTTATGAAAATTTTCAAAGTATCGATGATTCCGCATCTCCTTATAATTTCGAAGGCAGTGTATGACGTAAAAAGTAATTAATTCTTATAATCATATAACAACGTAATAGCCAAGATTTTATTAAACACAGACTTAAAAATAAATTCGAGAAAATTATAACTCTAACAAGGACTATCTTTTCAAGATAAAAAAGTGCAAGTCATTGTTAATCTTACTAATTTTTTAAATAAATCTTTCTAATACTTAGTTTAATGAAATTACAACCTTGTTTTCGTATTTCGTAAATGTTATAATTTTCTACGTCAGTTATACTCGTATTGATGGGATGCTTAAGAAAAGCCCAAATCTGTTAATGTATTGATCTAAGTTGATTTCTTAAAATATAAAGATCTCAAAAAATATATGAAATGGAAAAGATCTTTTAAAATACATAAATCTGTCTACAGCATAAGTAAAATATATATTTTTAATTAATTCCCTACCTTGTCTTTTACCATTTTAACGTTTAAATTAAGATAACATAAATAACTAAGATTCATGTTTTTATCTCATAAGTCTAGCTTTATTAATTTAGGGGAAGTTTAATTTTAAAATTGTAAAAACCTTTTGTTTATCATGTATTATATGGCGAAGGTTGATTGTTTTAAAGGAGCGTCTTGGCGCCCCGACAAACGATAGACGATCACGAGGTTAGCTACGCTCCGTACTCTACGTGAGGTTGGCATCCGTTCATTCTAGTCTCAACTGGATATATAACTACTAGTTTATTAACCATTGGGAATCGTCTTAACTGTCTTTGAAATTGATGTTTATACCACACATCGTGTTTGTGTTACAAGAATGGAATGAAAACAAATTTTAGAAATCAACATAATTGCATATCTATAGACATTTTTAAACTTTCATAGTTTTTATTAAAGTTATTCAAGTTTGTAATAAACTGAATTCTTACAAACTTGGTGTCTTTAGTTACATGATAAAAAATTATACGAGTCGTTGATGTTGATATTAAACGAAAGTTTTTTACTACAAACGACTTAATTATATTTGTTCCAATATGTCCCTATTTAGCAGCTATATTTAACTAAATCCAATGTTCCCATACTCGTCTATGATACATTATATCTGATAATTCCATGATTATGTAATTTATTTACATAAATGTACAAAAAATTTGATCATCACAAAGTTTCCTGACACAACAAAAAACAAACAGTAGCGAGTAAATTAAAATGATAAAATCTCATTGTGAAGAGTGAAACTTTGTACAATGTCACTACACAAATAACTTATTTAATTTCCAGCAATTTAATATAAATATTCATTAATACATAAAACATAGGAAATCTAGATTGCGCAATAACTGCGTCACAGCCTGCAGCTATGTTTACTTGGAACTTATATGTTTTCATTATCTAGAAAAGGAACTAAATGACAAAGTCAAAGTTACCCTTTTCACACACCAAAAGTGGCAAATCGTCGATTCGTAAGAATTATTTTGACATGAAACGTACAAGTTTACAAACACAACACCTTATTTGGTTATTATTTGAAATAAAAAAAAAACAACTTTATAAGGCTAATCAATCTATATCTATTCTAAAATGTAAACACAACTTCTTTGTTATGTAGAACTTATGGGGACAATTATTTTTGCATTTATAAGGAACTAGCTGTTTCCGGGCGACTTCATCCGCATGAAGTTATGAAAATTTTATTTTGTTGTTTACATTTGTCAAATTACAAATGTCAAAATGTTATTTCATAATGACAACCTTGCTTCCTTGATGTTAGCAGCAACTTATGGTATCTTTCCCGCATTAGGGGTTTTATCCAAAATATTTACCCCCTAAGTTTAATGGCGTTAAAATGTATAGTCTAAAGCGAGACGCAAGTGTCGGGCTTTTTATTAAAAAAGAATTATTCAAAAACATGCTTTATTATAATATAATAGTATAGAAGTATAGATTCAGATCATCTAGCTAAAAGTTTGGATTCAGTGGATAAAAACGCGGAATACATGAATCGCAAAATATTTAACCGCTTAAGCCACTTTGCAAAGAAACTGGTCTCTTTTAAAAGTAACAATATTACAGGGAAATTAAGGAAATGCTTTATATCATTGTTTTATTCAAGTAAATTAAAAAGGTTTTTATAAATGTAAGACAGCGGAAAGCTGCAATTAAAATTACACGTGCACTAACATGTTTTGTCAAAACTGTCAACCACTTCAAATCAGATGAACTTGAAGATCGAGTACGAAATTAATCAAGTGGAGATCCGTTACTTGAGAAGCAATACCATTACCGGGTCTCGGTATTTTTCCAGTTTGGATTTAGTAACGCCAGTGCGCGTCAGCAATTACCAAGATACTTTCAAATACAAGAATCTTAATCACCTTTCAATGCCTTCATTTAAAATAAACCTGAAATAAAAATTACATTATTTATTTTTCTGTTTAAAAAAAACAAACTAGTATTTACCTAGTGAAACTTTTTAAAGACTGCTATCTACAACATCATCAATTTTTTTCATTTATTTTTGTTAAGAAGGAAGGGAACAGAAGGGTAAGGGTTATATACTTAATAAAAAAATCTTCTTAAATATTGAAACTAGTGCTTAGCTTAGGTTAATCAGTTTGTAATTTTGTCAAATAAATTAGTTAAAGCCTAACTCCAACGTGAGATAAACCGGAACGTGACGCGGGATTTCAATAAAGTAGTATTGTGCACCGCACATTGTCGTCGCTTCGTCTGACGACCCCATTGCACATTACAATAACAATTCAATATAGTAAGCGATCACATGCCACCGGAACCGGCCCGCTGCCGCACTCAATAGAATCATGTTTTGATTCTACTCTTGTAGTTAGGTCATAATCTCATTTAGAGTCACTATGTAGCGTATTAAAGAGTAATAAGTTTTTTAAACTCCAGTGTTTAGGAAACCAAGTTGATCGGCCAATTTAAAAGTTAGTTTAAGTAGTATGGTACATGTGTATTACAAATTTTCATTAAGCAATACCTTCCTCGCTTTTCCATCTTTTCTCTAACATGGGGTGACTTCTCGATCTTTCGTCTAACATGGGGTGACACGACATTAAAAAGTTAATTTTATAAAAATATTCCATAGTAGATTACTTAAGAAAACCAGGTGACAGAGCTGACCTAAGGACCTGGGCATTTTTTTTTAAATTGTAATTTTAACAAAAAAAAACTTTTAGCAATTTAAATCACGATATTTACAAAATGGTAATAGTTTTTCATATTCTGAATTCCATTACGTTTAAATGATATTTATTTTTTTTTAACAAAAATAATTACATATTAAAATAATAAGATTTTATCAAAATTTAACAAGGGTTTTAGATTACATAGTTTATCCGACACGACCTTCATGGCATTGCACAACTTATGCAGTGTTTTTTATCTGATATGATAGTTGAAATTAAATATTTTACTATTTTACCTCTCTTATGTTAAAAGGATTATATAATTAATGTAAATAATAAAAAACTAAATAAATAAAACTTCAGCTACGCTTTAGCAATATTATCGCACAAAAAGTTTTATTGTTTGCTAAATTCTTGCAAAAACGCAGACATTATAAACAAAGAACTAAATAATTAACAGAATTATGAAAATGTTTTAATTCAATTAGTATATTATTATAGTAAAAGAGCGTCTGTGGCTCAGTGGTTTAATTGACTTATAATCTACAGGTCTTGGGTTCGAATCCCGCCATGTACCAATGTGATTTTCGATTTTTTGAATTTTCATATGTACATAATTTACCCGACGTTCTTACGGTGAAGGAAAACATCGTGATGCAACCTGCACATATCGGCGAAGAAAGTCAAAGATATGTGTGAAGTCAACCAACCCGCACTGGGCCAGCGTGGTTGACTATGGCCTAGTCACCCCTTGCTAGGGTAGGCTCCTAGCCCTCGGTAGTGAGCTGGTGGTGATGATGATGAGTACATTATTAAACGCCAACTGAAAAAAAGAGAGAATGACAATAAAAGAAATATTCATAAGAGAAACAAACATGTAAAAAAATTGGTTCAATGCATGTGTTAAAAAAATGCTATCACTTTTATGTATAATACAAAAATGTAAGGTAAGTACTTAATACTAATCTTCAATAAATAACTAAAATCTTATTCGGTTTATAACCTCATTTCTTAATTAAAACTTCGAATGAAATCGATTTGGTTTTATGCGTATCCAGCAACAACCAATAATTGTATGGATGATTAAAATAAATTAAATACTCCTTTAGATTTCTTTAGATACTTCCTATAGATTAGATTTAATTTCATAATAATTAAAGATAAATCACGGGTATTACTAAACATTTCGTTATTTCTATTAATAAAGGATTCGCTGTAACTATTCTTGCTATTTTTAATGCATTGTGACTGCTTTTAGTTCTATAATTCAATCTAACAGTAAATTCTTTGTATCCACACATCTGAACCATTTCCAATTTGCCCTGATCGGAATGTTTACGTATCTTCAAAATATATACTCGTACAGAGGGAAAACCATTTAAGTGGTTTTTTATCTAATTTATTTGATTACAAAAGTTGTAACATCAGCAGAACTAAGGTCACGCAGGTATTAGAATAAAGTTGAACATGCAGTCACAAAAAGTGAAAACCAAAACTAAAATAAATTAATAATTTCGCTTGCGGCGTCTACATCAAGAATGTTTGTGTCTAGACTTGCGGCAGAATTACAAAACGACCACGTATAATGTTACTCTGATATTCAGCCGGTGAAGCGGAAAAAGTCGCTTCGAAAGCTCTTGGAGTGAAGTTAATAGTGTTAATGAGGCTGAGATGAGCAGGAGACGTCACCGCACTGAAGACGCTGGCGCCGCACCGCTCCACACGTCTTCATATAAACGTGCGGTCGACGCGCGCGCCGGTCAGTGGCAAAAGGTGAGCGTTCCGTCCGCGTCGTCCCTGCAAGGCGCTGTGTTGTGCGCGTGCGCATCCCGCCCCGGCGTCAGCGACGCGACCTATAATATTATAAATTTTTTCGAAAAGATGATGCATCTCGCACTGCATTGAGTTTTCGTGTTTGGAGCGATTGACTCTCGGGCTCGAGAACTGTTTACAAATTATTTTCGTTTTCTTTGTTCGCTCATAACAAAGCATTGAAAAATAACCAAAATGGTCAGTGGAAACAAGGATCCAAGCGACCCTAAAAAAATACCACCAAAAAATCGTGAAAAGAAAAGCAATAACTACAAGCGAGCGAACCCGGTGTCGAAAGCATGGTTCGTGTGGATGATGCCGACGTTCTGGCGCGGCTACAAACGGGACCTCTACGACTCCGACCTCACTAATCCCAAAGACGGTCATCTCTCCAACAAACTGGGCGATCGTTTGGAAAAGTAAGTGTTATTTGTTTTTCTTTTTATTATTTGTGTCATTAAATTTTCTTTTTAAAAAAAAACTTAAGCCCGTAAATAAAAACTAATAAAAAACCTTCACATGGAAACTTAAAAAATACTTTGTATGAATACCATGTTCTTTTATGAATAGGATAGCTGGTTTAACTTCTTGAATGGAATCCACTTTTCCATTGTCAAATAACATTAAAAAAAATTGCTTAACCTAACACAAAAAACATAAATTTTAGTGTTTTTAATGATATAAAAATTTGAAAATAATACGTTTACAATACAGATATGCAATACAAATAAACTTATACATGGATGGTCACAGGTTCTTTGAATTGTTTTGAGAAGTTATTTAAACGTAACGTTTAGTACAAATAAACGAATTAACATGTATACGTATGGTATCGTTCAACCAGCTTGCGTCCTTCTAAACAAAGAATGGATGGAATTCTTAGAGCGGGCATACACCTTTAACTAAAGTATCGGACAACTGTTGCGCGAATGTTGATAATTTCGCAGCCAATTCAACTGTTTAGTTGCACAACTAAAAAACTATAAGCTCATAGGAATTAAAGCAAGACTAAACAGTCGTGCGATAGTTAAGTTTCAGTTGTGTGCACATTCTTAACTTCTATGTATTTAGTTTTTTTACTTTAAATGTTACCAACGTTACAAAGAAACGTTTTTTATTCATTATGACTAAAGAAGACAATTCTTGTTGTTACAAATCACTAAATACGTTTATTTCATTTCCTTTTTACAAGAACAGGAAGCTCGTAAATCCTTTATTGTCTGTGGTGATTAACATATACGTGTTTGAAACGATTAACTCTCACACTTAGAAAGATTACATTCCAATTTTATTTGTATTTTTGTCGACCTTACTCAAATAGCGAAGAAAATATTTAAGTTACACTCCTCATATATTTTTAATTTTTTATTTTTACAAATAATATATTTTACATGATTTTTTATATATAAATAATATATTATATAAAAAAATATAACTCTACCGGCTGCAGAATCCGACGACTCAATCAACCAGTCGTCAGGGCTACAGAGGTAAGAACCTCCTCACTATGGGTGCGGTTTCCAAAATAACCGTCTTATATTATATAGTTACGTTATATTATTGTTAAATTAATTTATACGTACATTTTAAATCTAGGTATATTTTATTATAGATTTCTTTTCTATTCCGTTAAAGTACAAATGTTCGCATTTTATTATTATCTTATGGTATTTAACCTTACAGTCGTACATTTTAACAAAAAACAGCGTTAATTTATATTTCACGTAAGTAATGTTTACTATAAACTGTTTCATTTGGCTGCCTTGTAACATTACGAGTAGTAAACATTTTATTATCACATGATATACCTATGTTTCTTTTTTAACGTCTTACAGATTAACTACAACTGTTACAATTGAATGCAAGAGAAACATTTTTTTTAAACGATAGTAATTTGTTAAAATATATACTGAATACCCGAAACAAAGACTTCAAGAAATAACAGTGGGCTTCCATTACCTAAAAACCTGTACGAGATCATTGTATCATTCTCATATTTTTATTCCCTTCAATAAAATAGTTGTAAATGTCTTTAAGCACTGGAAACCGACGGTAATTGATGATATAATAACACTAGCATTTACTTACGACTTCATAAGCACGGAATTTAAATCTATTACTATATCACCCCAAGTTGTTCAGTAATAATGTAGTATTATAACAGTGAAAGGCTTTTTTAAATCTGCGCATTATTTTTAAATTCATTTATTACATACAGAAATACAAATCGTTCTTCCTTATTTATAGTTATTTGTAGTATCAGTATAGATAAATAGCTAAAGATCTTACTACAGACTGACAGACGGACATTTTCATTGATTAAAATGGGAATAAAGAAATGATAAAATAGGTACATCGGCTCAGTAACAGCCGTATAAAACATAATGTTATGAAAATTAGATAGTGGACAATCGATTGTTTGACTACTAAATCCGTTTAAACGAGACAACAGTACTAATGTCCGGTTTCCCAGCTACGTTTAACTGATTGTTAGTTTTAGGTTTGATAACTTCAAGAAATGCGTTTCCAAGCTACGTAAATTGAGTTTTACGTCATTAAAATATAGCTTAATCTAACACTAATGAATCACTAGGTAATCTATATTAATATTACAAAGAGAAAAGAGTTGTATTTTTGGAATTCTGTATGAATTCGATTCACGTAAAAACTACTTGGCCGATTTTGAAAATTCTTTCACCATTAGAAAGGTAGTTTGTCTGTGAGTAACATAGGCTATATTTATTATTATTTTAATTTAACGCCGACAAAGTCGCGAGCAATAGCCAGTGATAATATAAACGTAAACTTCAGAAACCCAGCGTAGGTATTAATATTTTCGTACGGTAAAATAAACTCATATATGCATCTTATATCTATACAAAATCATGTTGAATAAAATTATTGTATCTAAAAAAATTTTAGCCATCATTATTTTTTATTTTACGGTGGTTAAATAAACGTAATACAATTAGAAAAAGAATAAATGTAATTCCATGATACATTTAAGATAAATACGTATATACATATGTATACTTATATATTACTACTTTCGCCCACGACTACATCCGCGTGGACTTAAAAAAACAAAGTTAATAGCTTATGTGTTCAAACTATCATCTACATCTATCCTAAATTTCATCGAAATCCGTTCATCCGTTTAGGCTACAAACTCTAACAAACATCCATCTATCCGTCTAATCTTTCGCATTTATAATATTAGAATGAAGAATGATTTAAGATACTTTAACGTCGCACTATCCTTAAATTCTTTAGAGATGTAAATCCATAAGGGTATACAGCCATCGGCTTCTATAAATATATTCCGTTTTCATTTACATTGTAACAAAATATGATTAAATGTTCAATATATCATACCGTACACATATAGAGTATGTATTTAACATACAATATCCATTAAATTAATTTTAAATGGTATTACTAAGAATTGTGACTTTATTAAATCTAGATTACTAGACAACAGGTAAAGATATTCCGATATAGCTATAAGGAATTCAAAGTGGCGACATTGAATAATTAGTTGTTATCATTGAATCCTGCAGTCATGACGTTAAATGCACACGTCAATGGAAACTTGGCTTTATTTAAAACTAGCTTACGCCCGCGATTCCGTCCACGTGGTATTAGAAAAATTAGCCTATGTGTCCTTCCAAACTATCCTCTACATCTATGCCAAATTTCGACTAGATCCATCCAACTATTTAGACTACAGACTCTAACATACATCCATTTTAATAATTCTGTACATTATTTAATAACATTTTATTTAATTATTGTAATATTTCTAGTTTCCTAGGGTATATCGTGTTACAAGATTATCCATGAGATTTGGATGTGATAACACAAACCTAAGCAAGCTGTAAGAAATTCATTTTTTTACAACACTATACCTCGCCTAAGACTTCATAAAAAAATGAGAAAATAGTTACATTTTTTTTTAGCGCCAAAGTGACAAAAATCAAATATGCATTAAATGTCACTGTCCATTTATAAACGTGAGTGGATACGACGTTTTTAAAAAGATTATTTTTAAATATCTATGGTTACTTATAAACCAGTAACCGCGATGGGATAAAGAAAAAAGTATAACGAATTCCTTTCTCCCAGTCTATTTATAAACTGGCAACGATTACATTACCCGTGGCGGGGTGCGTTTACCTTAAGGATGCACGTTTTTATAACATAAAACATTATAATGTTAGGTGCACACTTTATATAGCTCCCTCATTATCCGGGAACAGGTCTGCGATCGCTTTTTCCCGCAGGCTCTATATGGTTGGATTAATTTTAGCAACAACTACACTGTTTTTATTTTACTATTGTATTCGTTGCCTAAGTCTAACCAGCTACAAATAGATTTTGTATTTTTTTCGATTTAAAACTTTTTATTAATTTAAAAATTATATAAGCTTTGTATTTATTTATTATAAATGTTCACTAGAAAAGTTAAATTTAATGCATCTGTTATCGTAATAATTATTAAGAAACGTAACTTATATATCAACTCAAAGAAAACTTTCGTCAACAATACTAAAATTGCGGTTAGAAGTTCGATCAGTTTTTTTCACACATTGTTACAATAGTAATGATAAAGTAAAATAAATGACACCACCGCTTGTCCTTACGCTGTATTCTGGGAAGTACGGAAAACATCCTTTTAGGTACGTACAAATTAGTTTCAATAACGTACATGCGTCACAATAAAAAGGTAATGTGTATTTGAAATTCTCTGAAACGCTTAATCGTTTGTAACTCGAAGAAAAATACGACGATAATATTTAGAAGACAACAATGGTCAAAAGAATTTAATCCGTGAAAATTACTATTAGAGCTTTTCTAAATATTATAAGTAAAACTAGAATATAATTTGTGTGAAATTTATTAAGTAAAAAGAGTTATCTGTTTGTTAAACGTGAACTTCATTGTTGATTAAGTCGATTTCCTGTTCTATTTAGTGCATTTGGGGTAATTGTATTTAAGGTTGCGACTGGGCCACGCCGACACTCGCATGTCAGACTTCGATTACTATCTCGTACGACAGGAACCGGACCGTCATTAACCAATTCCAGATGGTACTTTGGACCCGTTTGAATAAACGCATCTTAAATATGTAAAAAAAAACAGGTTCTTCGATATTTTCTAAGTCAACTATCAACTTCCACTAATCGGTTATGCATTTTTGGCGATAAGTGGTTAAGTACATGGTGAGAATTACGGAACAATTTAAATAAAAAGCATCCAAGGGGAAGTATCAAACTTTTAAATATTACAATAGATGTATGTTTTTTTTTTAATATTGTAGATGCTTTGCTTATTAACACGTATATTTCTGGTGAATATTAGTGATTTTGTGATCGTATTAACCATCGGCGAAAACTGGTCGTTACTAGGTTTCTAAAAT